TTGTATTAGTTTCGGAACAGAGTTAGACCGAAAGGGATTCAAAGAAAAGTAACAAAGGACAATAAAGTGAATTTAAGGAGAAATGTCCCTTTCGGGGAGGAAAGAAGGACTTATCTGGAGTGCATGCAGACTTCAATAGACATGACATGCTTCTTGGACTGGATACCCGATCTGCACAACTATCCTACTTCTCATAAACCCATTGCAACCCGTGTTTTAAAAACCAAGAAACCTTGCCAGGACTCTTTCAGTGCTAATGGTGGTGAGGGGTTTCCTCTTTTCGATCAACAGCACCTTTTGCGGGTTTTCGCCAATCGACCTCTCTCATTTCTCTTCTCACCGTCGCCTTATAGTGCTCTTTACGAGTTTTCACTAACAAGACTCTCTCGTTTTCAATTTCTCTGCTCACCGTCGACTTATGGTGCCCGTGGGTTTCCATCGATAAGACTCTCTCATTTTATTTCTCTCATTTGATTGTATCAGGTCCAAGTAACTGTATTCTTCGGTCCTTGAACATTCTCACCGATTGATCAGAAGGACTTGAACAAGGTTTGGGTAAAAAGGATTTGGATTGAGTTACAACTTTGGAACTTTTTGCGCGGGATCAATGACGAACCATTATAACATCTGCCCAAGTTTCACTTTTGGGGGGAAATTGGATTTTTGTTTTGGTGTGACTGAACCCCAGAGAGAGGCTGCCTACGTATCCTTTCGGAATCAAGTCGAACGTAGTTCAAGGAAACATTTTGTTTTTGTTGTTTTGTTTTTTTTTTTACAAACGTCTTCAGGCTCCAAAGAGGGTAATGAAAGAAAGGTAACCGGCTCAAAGGGTTAGCAAAGAATTGGAGTGTTTGGGGTAGCGAGAAAATCGGATAATGTTGTCTCTGCAGAAAGACTAGACATAGTACCTTTTGAATGCGTCTGCATTTACAGCTGTTTCGGGGTCATTTCCTTCGATGTCTCCTAGGTATAACGCCCCTTTTGGCAACAATTTTCTGATAATGTATGGGCCTTTCCAATTAGGAGCAAACTTTCCTTTCGCTTCCTGATGATGGGGGAGAATACGCCTTAAAACGAGTTGCCCCACTTCAAAGTTTCTAGGCCGCACTTTCTTGTTGTAGGCACGGGCCATTCATTGTTGATACAACTTCCCATGGCAGACTACGGCCATTCGCTTTTCATCGATCAAGGTTAACTGTTCCAGACGGGTTTTGACCCACTCACTGTCTTCAATTTCAGCTTCAACAATGATCCGAAGAGAAGGGATTTCAACTTCTGCGGGTATTACGGCTTCAGTGCCATAAACCAAAAGATACGGGGTTGCTCCAACTGGCGTGCGCACAGTAGTGCGATATCCTAAGAATGCAAACGGCAACTTTTCATGCCATTTCCTGGAACTTTGGATAATCTTTCTCAGAATCTTTTTGATGTTCTTGTTTGCTGCTTCGACGGCACAATTGGCTTTGGGCCGATAAGGGGTAGAGTTCCGATGCGTTATCTTGAATTGTTCGCATATCTCCCTCATCAAATGACTATTCAAGTTTGCAGCATTATCCGTAATGATAGTCGCAGGGATACCAAAACGGCAGATGAGATCGGAATGCACGAAGTCTACCACAGCTTTCTTGGTGATAGATTTGAGAGTAATTGCTTCAACCCACTTTGTGAAGTAGTCGATAGCGACCAATATGAATCTATGCCCATTTGAAGCTTTTGGCTCGATCGACCCAATGACGTCCATACCCCAGGCAACAAATGGCTAAGGTGCCGATATAGGATGCAGTTCTGTAGGTGGTGCATGAATCAGATCACCGTGCACCTGACACTGATGACATTTTCGGACAAAACTGAAGCAATCTTTTTCCATAGTCATCCAATAATAGCCTGCTCGAAGGATCTTCTTTGCCAAAACATACCCGTTCATGTGGGGTCCGCATACTCCTGCATGCACTTTATACATGATTCTTTCGGCCTCTTCAGCGTCAACACATCTTAACAAATTGAGATCTGGAGTCCTTTTGTATAAGACCTCACCGCTCAAGAAGAAACCGCTTGCGAGCCGTCTAATGGATCTCTTTTGGTCTCCACTGGCTTGCTCAGGATATTCTTTAGTTTTCAAAAATCTCTTGATATCATGATACCATGGTTGAACATTCGGTTCTGCCTCAACCGTATTTTCCCATATTTGGATTTCCAACGGGTCGATGTGGGCATTGCCTGGGTATGGCAGCATCGAGGCCAAAGTAGCGAGCGCATCAGTTAACTCATTGTGAAAATGAGGAATGTACCTGAATTCAACTAACTTGAACTGCCTGCTAAGATCTTCCACATGTTGCTTGTAGGGGATAAGTTTGACATCTTGAGTTTCCCATTCTCCCTGAGCTTGTCGGATAATCAGGTCTGAATCTCCCATGATCAACAATTCTTCGACATCTTGGTCGATTGCCATGTTCATACCCATAATGCAGGCTTCATACTCGGCGGTGTTGTTTGTGCAGAAAAACCGAAGCCGGGCTGTGGCTGGATAATGCTGACCGGTGGGTGAGATCGAAATTGCCCCAATTCTAATGCCTTTTGCATTCACAGCGCCATCAAAGAACATTTTCCACGCATTGGTGTCTTCTGATGTTATCTCAATTGAATTCACCTCTTCATCCGGAAAGTAAGTACTCATGGGTTGGTATTCATCATCAACGGGGTTTTCAACTAGGTGATCTGCTAAAGCCTGGGCTTACATTGCCGTGCGGATGACATAGACTATGTCAAATTCAGTGAGCAAGATCTGCCATTTTGCTAACCTGCCTGTGGGCATCGGCTTCTGGAATATGTACTTCAGAGGGTCCAACCTGGTAATGAGGTAGGTGGTATAGGCCGACAAGTAGTGCCTAAGCTTCTGAGCGACCCAAGTCAGGGCGCAGCAAGTTCTTTCCAACAAAGTGTACTTGGCTTCATAACTTGTAAACTTTTTGCTTAGATAGTAGATTGCTTGCTCTCTCTTTTCGGTCACATCGTGTTGCCCGAGGACACATTCGAAAGAGTTTTCCAAGACTGTTAGATACAAGAACAAAGGCCTCCCAGGTTCAGGTGGGACCAAGACTGGTAGGTTCGACAGATATTCTTTGATTTTGTCAAAGGCTTCTTGACACTCATCCGTCCATTTAATCACTGCATCTTTCTTTAACAACTTGAAAATGGGCGCACACGTGGAAGTCAATTGAGCCATGAATCGGCTAATGTAGGTCAACCTTCCCAGCAGGCTCATAACCTCTTTCTTGGTTCTTGGAGGAGGCAAATCTCGAATAGACTTTATCTTTGTTGGGTCTAACTCGATGCCCCTCCGACAGACTATAAATCCCCAAATTTTGCCAGACGGAACCCCAAATGCACATTTAGCTTCAAATTATACTTGCGCAGCCGCTCAAAGAACTTTCTCAGGTATGGTCGTCCTGTGTTCTGGATTTGATGATCACATCGTCCACATACACCTCGATTTCTTGGTGCATCATGTCGTGAAAAATGGCAGTCATGGCCCTCATATAAGTTGCCCCGGCGTTATTCAAACCAAACGGCATGACCCTGTAACAGTAGGTGCCCAAGGGTATGGTGAAAGTTGTCTTTTCCGCATCCTCTTCATCCATCAACACCTGGTGATATCCTGCATAACAATCCACGAAAGACAGTATCTCATGTTTGGCGCAGTTATCAACAAGGATGTGGATGTTCGGCAAAGGGAAGTTGTCCTTGGGACTTGCTTTGTTCAGATCTCTATAGTCCACACATACTCGAGTTTTCCCATCTTTCTTTGGCACAGGGACTACATTAGCCAACCACGTGGTGTATCGGACCACTCGGATCACCCCCGCTTTCAACTGTTTTGTGACCTCTTCTTTAATCTTATCACTGATATCAGTTTTGAACTTTCTTTGCTTTTGCTGGACAGGAGGATAATCGGGGTAGGTCGGCAACTTGTGGACCACCAAGTCGACACTTAATCCTGGCATGTCATCGTATGACCAAGCAAACACATCTTTGAATTCAAACAAAAGTTAGATCAATGCGTCCGGGGTTTGTGAATGCTTATCTTGGTTTCATTGACTTCTTCAGAGCTACCAAATTAATCGGCTCGGTATCATTTAAGTTCGACTTCTTCAGAACTACCCAAATTAATCAGATCTGGGCATGAAGTCCGCAAGCATGTCATGTTATTTAAAGCCGCATTATTAGAACTGAAAGAAGAAATAAGAAAGAGTAACTAAAATCAGAAAGAATAAAGAGAGATGAACGATGAGATATTGATTTCATTTTATTGAATTTTGAAGATAACAGGGTTTACATTGGAAATTAAAGACAATAAACTAAAAGAAAACATCCGAGTTACACCCTGAAATAACTCGTGATGCAGAAAAGGTGGCAGGACTGGACTACCAGGATTCCTGCCTGATTAGGAAAGGAGTAGCCTTCCAATTTTGCAACTTGGCATTGGGCCCCATATACAGCACCTCAGCGGTGCTCGAGCTTTCTCCCGGCTGAACCATGTGGGTTTCATACAGCATCTGCCTCATAGCCCCATAGATTTCTTCAATTTCCTCGGCCGTGAAGGCCTCATCTTCCTCTTCCTCATTGTACTTAGACCTGACAAATGTTCTATAAAGATGCGGAATCGGGTGAGGCAAGACCCAACCGTTATTCTTTCGTTTATCTGCCCATTTTTCGTCAGCTGGCGTGGGTTGGAAACCTACCCCAAAGAACTTCTCGCTAGCAGCCAGAGTGATAGGTTCGGTGATTCCTTGCAATGACGTCCCGAGCCCCTTCCCGGGTTTATAACCATGCCTGATCATTTCCTTGGCAACCATAATTGACGCATTTGAGAGAAAGGTTTGAGGACAAGGGTTTCCTTCTTCACATTGGTCTGCGACCACAACCTCGAAAGCTTGATAGACTATATGTTCACTTCCTTCCCTAGCTTTGAGACATGGGACTGACGGGTCCCGGTAAATCGACTACTCATCTTCTCCGTGAACTACAATCTCCTGATCTTCATGTTCAAATTTCACCATCTGGTAGAGAGTGGAAGGTACAGCCCCTGCTGCGTGAATCCAAGGTCTTCCCAAGAGGAAATTATAGGAAGTATCCATGTCCAAGACCTGAAAGGTCACCTCGAAATCCACCGGACCAATAGTCAAGATCAGATCGATCTCACCTATGGTGTCTCTTTTGATACCATCAAAGGCACGCACACAGACGTTGTTGGGCCTGATTCTCTCGATACCGATCTCCATTCTTTGCAGAGTTGAGAGAGGGCAAATATCTACTCCGGAACCACCATCCAGCATGACCCTTTTCACATAATATCCCTCGCATTTAACTGTTAGATGAAGGGCTTTGTTGTGGGCGGCCCCTTCCGGGGGCAAATCATTCTTGCTAAAAGAAACTTGATTGACTGCAAAAAACCTTTCTGCCATCCTTTCCAACTGTTCCACAGTGGTTTCTATGGGAACATACGCCTCATTGAGGGTTTTGATCAACACTTTCTGATGTTCAATTGAATTCATTAGCAGAGACAACAAAGAGACCTGAGCAGGAGACTTCCGGAGTTGGTCAATTATCTCATTGTCCGCCATTTTCATTTTTCGGAAGAACTCTTCTGCTTCTTCAGCACTAACGGGCTTCTTGAGTGGGAAACGCTTCTTCGTGGCATTATTCACTTCCTCCAGATTGAGGTATTTCTCAGCCGGGTTATTTTCCTTTGCTTCTCCCGAGATCTCTTTCCCCTTGTAAGTTACTACCCCCTTGTTGTAGTTCCATGGGACGGCAGTGGGATCTGTCATGGGCCTCTGCGGTGCGCGGCCAATAACCACGGTCTCATTCAGCCTTGGTGAAATTACTGGTCCCCGCACCACGTAGGTCCCTTTAGGAACATACATTTTAGATCCCTTGTTTAGCTCAAACCTTCTTGGAGGGCTCAATGTCATTTGTCCTTTCCCGTGACCCCGGGGAACATAGAGAACGTCATCTTTTGAGGGCGCTGACCCAGCTTCGGTTTCCTCTTTCTTTTTAGTATTCCGAGTGGTGGGTTTACTCTTTTTCTCCCCTTTGTCTCGTTTCGCGACAGCCTTTGGCTTCTTTTCCACATCGGCCATGGCAATGATGGCTTTTAGAGCTGGGTCAAACTCTTTATCTTCACAAATTATTCCAATAACCGGCCCGTTGTTGTGAGCCGGTAATGGATTGTTGGTTACATTAGGAACGTCTTCATCCTTTAGCACTATTCGTTTTTGTTCTATGAGATTTTCCACAGCCCTTTTCAGGGTCCAAAAGTCGTCTGTATCATGCCCTTCCGCTCCCGAATGGTAAGCACATCGAGTACCGGCTCTGTAGGAGGGCGATTCTGGGTTCTGTCTGGTTTGGGGGACGGGCTGCAACAGACCCATCTGGACAAGTTTGGGGAAAAGGCTGGAATATGACTTACCAATGGGTGTGAAGTTTGCCATCCTGGGCGGTTCCCGGGCACGGGCATTGTAAGGGAAGTTGTTCTGTGGAGGTCGGGGATTATACTGAGCTTGGCGAGGAGGTTGATTTCTGGGAAATGGAGCTGGGTTTTGATTGAATTGTTGTTGTGGCCTAACGTAGGGCTGGGCATTCATCACTGCATATGGCTGAGGAACTATAGCATAGGCCACATCCTGATGGGGATAGTAATGTTGTGGGGTTCTTGCAGGGAAGTAAGGTCTGGGTGGACGGGGTTTTCTTGTACTTGAAGTCGACATTGCCTCTTATTCCTTCTTCTTTCGGTTTGCTACACCTCCAGACCCGCCTTGAATTGCTTGGGAGGTAGCGCTTATAGCAGATTGACTCAAGATGCACCCTGTTTTTAAACCATTCTCAACCATTTCACCAATTTTGATGGCCTCGGCAAACGGTTTCCCCATCACAGACATCATGTTTTGATAATAATCAGCCTCTTGGGCTTGAAGAAAAACACTAACCATCTTTGTTTCATCCATTGGAGGCTTGACTCTGGCCGCTTGTTCGCGCCATTTGACAGCATACTCTCGGAAGCTTTCCGAGGACTTCTTCTTAAGATTTGACAACGAATTCCTGTCAGGAGCTATGTCGATGTTATACTGAAACTGCCTGACAAAATCCCGAGCCAGGTCATCCCAAATATGCCAACGAGATATATCCTGATCCATGTACCATTCAGAAGCAATGCCGACCAGGCTCTCTCCAAAATTATCCATGAGAAGCTCCTCTTTTCCACCTGCTCCCCGCAATTGGTTGCAGTACCTCTTGAGGTGGGCTATGGGATCCCCATGCCCGTCATACTTTTCAAACTTCGGGGTTTTGAAACCCAAGGGTAGATGCACGTGTGGGAACATACACAGGTCAGCGTAGGATACGCTCTTTTGCCCGCTCAAACCCTGTATATTTTTGAGACTCTACTCCATGCTCCTCATCTTTCTGGTAATCTCCTCCTTTTCAGGGTTTTTTGTGGTTTTTTCCTGCCCCGCAGTAAACTCGTACCGGGGCGGCTGAGGGTAAGCATTGGTAGTAAACTGGGTAGGTTCCAGTGGGAAAGATGGCACTTGAAAGGTGAAGGATGACGGATCAAAGCTAGGCCTGGGTAGAGTGGGTTGTGCCGTAGCTGAACAAGGTGGCGCAGTGAATATATTTGAGGCCGCACCTGACATTAACACCTGGGGGCGAGCCTCAGAAGGTGTTCCAGCAAAGTGAGCTGAGATGGTAGGGTATCCCAGTGGGGTACTTGGATAACTTATGGGGATGTTGGAAGTCCCACTTGCCTTGGGAAGTAGCTCAGGGAATCCAGGAATCACACTTGGTGGTTCTCTGTCGTTGGCCCAGGCGTCCCACATTTCCATCATGCGGAGACGAAGAATTCTATTTTCCTCAGCAGTTGCTGACTCGGAAGTTGGGATGGCCGAGATCGGACTATCCTCCGGAATAGGAACTGTTGGCAGATGACTTTCCGAAGACATTTCAACACTTCCTTTTCACCTTGTGAAGTACGGATGTGAAGCCAGATTACCACAAAACCAACCACCTTAATATAGAACCTGTACTTAACAGTAGACAACAAACCAGTCAGTTTAAAGCAATTAACATATAGGTAATCGCACATTGGGGTGTGATGCACCTATACAGTTAAATGTGTTTCTACATGTGTTCGCAACGGTTGCGTGTTTCATCCCGACTCTTGCTTATTTCCCCAATTTTATTTTCTTTCCACTTTGGCTCTTTGATGCTTCTCCTCTCATTCCCATTTTCCTCTCTTTTCTTTCCTCTCTTTTCTTGCTTTTTTTTCGTTTTTTTTTCGGTTCTTTCGTTCCACATCCCTCTTTTATTGGAGTTATTTACAAAAATCATGACCAGATCTGATGAGGATTGCCTACGTATCACGACGCCGCGTGAATCATATCATTACGTAGTTCAAGAAATAAGTACGAAAAATAAAGAAACAATTTTTTTGGGAATTTTCAATTTTCATTAATAAGACTCCTAAACTTTTCTATTACAAAAGACTTTAACATACTCATTTTTTGGAATTTTAACAACTACAAATAGACTCAAAACAACAACTGAGGTACAGACTCGATAAATGAAAACCAATAGTACATAAGTGCTTCTACTCCTGGGGCCCGTGGGACATCATTCGGTCTTGCCACGGGCCTATGTGCAAGATCCCCTTGAAGACGCTCCAGATCACTCATTATTTGGCGAACAAATGTCATAACCGCAGCAAAGAAGGTGGTCCTAGTCATGTCTTCACATTCTTGACACTTCACGACGATGTAGTCGGCAATTGCTCTAACCCTCTCCCGGATGATACCTTTTTCTTGGAGCAAACGCCCAATTTGCTGAGTTCTAGCTTCTAACACCTGGGTGTCAAGATGGTTTTGACTCTGCACTGTTGCATATCTTCCTCCATCTGGGACATCAAGGCATAGCAATGCTCCCTTTCGGCTTTAAAGTTCCTAGCTTGTTTGGCCGCCTCATTTTCAAGGGTTGTTAACTTTCTCTTTAAATCGGTGACTGTCCCCTCATATTTTCTTTTCAACTACCGCACAAATTCCACCCGTCCTTCTGCATTCTTTGCCAGTTGTACTCGGACTCTTGCTAAACTAGCCTCAGATTTTTCTAAGTCATCTTGACACTCAATTACTTTCTTTCTAAGACCACTTATAAGCCTTTCATCTGCTCAGCTTCTCTCCTGGTTTTTAGCAGTTATTTTCATCTTTTGGATCTGAGTTTTAAGGGCTTCGTTTTCCTGAGCCAGCTTCTTCTTTTCCCCTTCATCGGCAGCAGCTTGGACACTATTGTCAAATTTGAGGTCCCTGATTTGTCCCTCCAATTTACTTATCTTGGCCCTATAGCTTGCCTCTTTCGTCAACCAGTCCCATTGCTCCCGCGAGTGGTCAGTGAATTGCTGGACGTGCAGTCTTTTAGCAGGCCTTTCGGGCTATTGAGGGATTTGAAACCTTTTGCCGAACCAAGTCATGTAATTAGGGTCTACCTCACCTTGAGATAGATCCCGCACCAGAGTCTTAGGCTCTAGAAATCTGCACTCATTCCAAATTTGACGAACTTTTCCTTCGGGGAATACAGCTTTTGGGCCCAATTCGACGACTTGTCGGCTGAGATCTTCGTCATGTGGGATAGTTTGAAACCTGCCTAATTGGCGCAACACCCGGTGAGGAGCATATGGCTGAATGCTCCGAAGACCAATTAGGAGAAGATAGCACACCTCGGCTGACATGTAGATGACTTCAGTGACAGGGAGCCATCCGAAAGTCCACTCAATTCTGTCCGAAGTTAAAGAACCTAAGTGCGCAAACCAAGCCTCTGTACTTTCTGGAAATTCAACACCCGCCACTCGGTTTTCATACTCTTTAATGCAATTCAAACCAGTCATACCGTAGCTCATATACCCCACACGGTGACAAAGATGTTCTTGCATCCAAAGTTGCAGGAGTAGGTTACAGCCCTGGAAGAATTTTACCCCTTCTTGGCAGATGGTCAGAGCTCGGTAAATCTCAGATGAGATCATTGGAACAAGGGTGCCATTAGCTTTCTTAATCATAACGTCAACCATTCCCACAAGACCCAGTTCGATGTTTCTGTCTTTTCTCGGGCAGAATATGACCCCAAGAATGCCACTATAAAGGCCAAACCCCGCCGTGCCTCCCATTTATCTTTGTTTCTCGCATGGGTCAGACCAGTATCCGGTGCTTCAAAACCGTGGGGATTGCCATAGGGCTGGTACAAGAAGTGGAAAGTGCAAAACCCTTCAGATAAATTCCCATCCTGAACCTCCCGACTGATGCTCAACAGATCTAGGAACTTGTGAGGAGACACTGTTCTTGGTGACACCGGGTATCGACTTATGAGGTTCCCACTAAAACCGGCATAGCCCGCAATTTCCTCCAGCATGGGGGTGAGCTCAAAATCAAAAAAATGAAACACATTGTGAGTCGGGTCCCAGAAAGATATCAAGGCCTCAATCACATCCAATCTTGGTTTGATTTTCAGAAGTCCGACAAGACCACCCAAAACTTTGACCACAGTCTGTTTGCTAACTTTTCCTAAGTCGTTCCACCACATATGGAGCTGTAAGGGGATTTCCTCAAGAGCTGCGAAGGGTTCATTTTCATTTGTGTTCATCCTGCACATTTATTAGGGTGATTGGTTAAGAAACCATGATTTGTTTTGACTCAATAAAAGTTATTAAAAAAAATTCAAAATTTCCTTGCAAATACGGCCCTCCAGTACTTCAGAAAAGAAGATTTTAGGGTTGTGTTTGCTAACCGGCCAAAAATTTGAAAAAGAGACCATATGTGGTTGTTCTTGCAAAAACAGCCTTTCGGTGCCCTTTTGGGGACATTTGGCTATTTTAGACAAGAATGGCATCACCTTACTTATTTATGACAAATCGCTAAAAAATTTGTTCTTTTTGGGTTATTTTTGCAAAAATGGAGTTGGACTAGATGGGGGTTGCCTACGTATCCCACGTCCGGTGAGAATCAAACTGGCGTAGTTCGGGCAGATTTGACATAATAAAAACAACACTAAACAAAATTTTCTTCTTTTTTTTTCTTTCAAAATTTCGGCAGAGTTTCGGTACTTTTTTGGACATCAGGTTTTTTTTAAAAAACAGGTAATTATCTCTCTTAGCCCTCACATTGATTTTTCTTTTTCCCAACTTTTCTCCATTATTTATAAGCCGGTCAACATGCAATCGGAAGCAAATAAATGCACAAGTAGCAAGTAGAATGTATCAGGATGGTCTTTCATTTCGGGTACACATGTCCTAGACAGACCCAACCCCTGTGTTGAGTCTCCAAAGTCAAATGCACGTGATGCAAACAAGCGTTCCTACTAGGGATCTGGCATGAGGCTTTGTTATACTAGGTTTAAAAACCTGGGTGTATTGTTCTAGACCTGGATTACCCGAGCGGACAGCTCGAGCCGAGGG